TTCACTTGGGTTATAGTACTTTTCTATTTCAGATTTTCCATTTGGTTCTTTTATTTATTTATTTTTCTTTTTAGCTGAGTTTATTGGGGTGACATTGGTTAATAAAATTATATAGGTTTCAGGTGTATAATTCTATAATACATCAGCTGTATATTGTACTATGTGTTCACCACCTCAAGTCACATCTTCTTCCATCCCCATTTATCCCCCCTTTACCCTCATCTTCCTCCCCCAACCCCCTTTCCCTCTGGTAATCACCGTACTGTTTGTCTGTGTCTGTGAGCTGTTGTGGGTTTTTTTGCTTGCTTTATGTTTTTTACTTAATCCCTTCACCTTTTTCACTCAGTTCCACCACGCGTCTCCCCTCTGACTGCTGTCAGTCTCTTTTATGGTTTTTATTTCTCTGCTGAGATTCTTTATCTGTTGACTATGTCAGACTACATTTTCTTTTGATTCTATGAATGTATCTTGTTCTTTAGCTGCTTTAAAGTTGCTAAATCCAACATTTGAATCACATCACTTTGTGTCTCTGTTTACTACTCCTTTTTTGATTGACTATGGATCCTATTTTCCATGTCTGGTAATTTCTTACTGTGTACTGGGCATTGTTAGTGATGCATTAAAGAGACTCGGGAAGCTGTCACCTTCCCTTTAAAGGGTATTGATTCGTGTTCAATTTCTGGCTAATAACCTCTAAATTGTGTAGGTTTGTTTTTATGTTTGTTATGGGGGATATGTAGAAACCTGAGATGTTTCCCAAGTCCTTCTAATTGGCAGGTCTGGACCTCCAAAATCTGTCTCCCCTGCAGATCTTGTCAGCGCTGAGTGGGATCTGGCTTTGTTTGAGTGGGTGCAGGGCAGTGGTCTTCAACTGGAGGTGATTTTCTCCCTAAGCAACATGTGGCAATATCTGAGGACATTGCAAATTGTCACAAGAGGAGATAAAGGGGGAGCTACTGGCATTTAGTGGGTACAGGTTGGGTATGCTCCTAAATATCCTATAACATACAGAACATCTCCACACAAGAATTATCTGACCCAAAAATATCAATAGTGCCAACACTTAAAAACTCTGGTCTAACTTAGGCCTTACTCTAGGGCAAGGTCCTTACTCTGCCTGAGGGGTTAACAAGGTGTGGAGATCCTCCACTCTGCCTGGAGTAGGCCATCAATGACTTCAGTCACACTTGACTCTAATCTCTGGTGAGCTCCTCTCTGGTGAGTGTAAAGTAGTCGTGCTCTGAGGATGCTGTTTTTTCATGGGAGGATTTTTAGTTCATATTATTTTCTCATTGTTAACCTTTACTTTCTTTTGAGCATTGAGCTTGATAAGTGTGGAATCTCTGAAAGTCTATCATCATATTTTTATTATGATGTATATTTGATGATGTTTATGTGTGACTTTGTTGAATATCAGGTCCTTAAATTCAAAAGATAGCTTAATCTGATGACACAAAAAGTTTTACATTCTGGAGATGTGTATGAAAAATCACCTATTTGATTAGGAATTAACGCATGGGTGTGGATGTGAATATTGCTGTTGGAATGGAAACCTGACCCTTTGCATTGCATTTCATGAACTTCTTATATTTTCTTGTTTTTATCAGTGTGCTGCCCTTCGAATCCACAAAGCGAGTTCTCTTTCTCTCCCCCCTCTTCATTTTCATTATGTATTATATAATTAAAACTATTATCCTCACTCTAGAAATCATACTTCCTCACCTGGCTTCAAATCTACTACCTTACCCAATAAAACACAAGTGTTCTGGGGAATTAGACAATCAAGACATTCTGATTTGAATAGTGGGGATAATATAAGTGGGCCAGATACTTGGCATAAACAATATGAAGGTGATGTCTAAATGCTAAATTATTCATTGCATTAATTTGACTTTTGTGTCTTTACCGTGGTGCTTTTCTCTTTTCTGAAAAGACTATGAGTTGTATATGAACTTAACTTTCCAGGGGTATTCAAAATTGCTCCTTCTCTTGTTTGTTTGAAAACTTAGGGAAAATAAGGTCAATTTAATTTTTATTTAATTTGCTTTGCTCAATATAAAACAAAAGTAATATTATTTCTACTTGATTAGAATATGGATGGTAATTTAGATATTTATAATCCATAAGTCAATAGAAGAAAGAGAATTAGCTATCTACAATAGAAATAAATATCATAAGTAGAGTAATATTTGAAACCCAGTAAACATGTAATAAAACTGTTTTGAAAAAAATACTTTCTCGGTGTTTATCATTTTCATGCTACCCCATTAGGTGGCTGGCTGGAAAAGAGATCTTTTAATGATCAGGATCAATATGTAATTCTTCAAGCTGCCATTCATTTTAACCATAATATTGTGTGTATTTAAATAAATATGAGTCAGTAATTTTTGTTATAAGGAAAATATGGCATTCTATAGCTAAATATCTTGAATACCTAACTTCTGCTTGTTTTACTATTTACCACATTACATCTTGATTTTAAATGAAACAAATACATCTGTTTTCTCAAAAAGATTATAAAATTAGTACTTGCAGGGCACATATTTCTTTTCCAATTACTTTTATTGATCTTACAGGCAGAATAGTATCTTGATCTCTCTATTACATCCCACAACACCAAAAAATCTACAACTCTGGTGTCAATATCAATAACTACTAAAAATTGAGCAAGCAATTTACAACTATCTGCAATTAAGGAAACTGGATTCCAAAGGTATATCATTGCAATAACAATAAAATAGTATTTATGCGTTAAGACACAAATAGCCAACATAAATTTAGTTACCTCAGGCATTTTTCTAATTGTGATAGTTATACAAATTTGGGAAACTGAGGAGTACACTAGCCAGTCACCAATGGTCCTGAAAAAGGAAACATATACAAGTGCCTATTTTGCTGATAGTACATATTCAGCTCTTTAGCTTGACATTGTGTGATAGTGTTATCCCTTCCAAAGCATCAGAAATCAATACCACATGTGCCTCAAGCTTTTCTACAGATGAGCGATCTGATGAAGATGTCCTCATTTTGGACACTGAGGTCATTCATGTTTATCTTCAGTTGAAACATTTCAGAAGGCTCACGGATCCTGCAGAACACCCAGTCTCAGACTCCTGGGTGAACAGCGACATCTAGTGGTCGTGCTGTCCCTAAACCAGCATTTTAAAAGGATGATCTCAAGGGCAGTCATAAAACAAGCGAAATGGCCACACCGCACCATCTTTAATATTACCACAAGCATATTTCCAATGAAACTGTATCAGAAAATTACAGATACTTCCTAGTAGATTTTCTCTTATTTGGTAATAATATAAATTTAAGGAAAAGCCAGCACTGGCTTCTAATCTTTATTCTTAATGAACAGCCCTTACATAGGTAAACATCCTTTGTAGTTTTTATAAAAATCCAATTTTGGTTCCTTCATGTCTGAGTTCTCACTTCTAACAGGGTAACAAACACTATGAACTACCGAATACTCAGTTTTGTGGATCTTTTAGGAATACATGGATTGGAATGTTCCAGCAACAAATGTCACTCTATACAACAGAGCGCTGAGGGGCAAAATTAAGACATTGTAAAAGCTGCCAGTCTACTAATGATCGTTGGATTGAGTTTACACCGGAAATGTTATTAATTTTTTGTAAGTACAGACTATCCTGTTCATTAAGCTTTTCTGAAACAACTGGATCATGAAATTGAATGGTATAGAAGCCTTTGACCATCAGAAAGTCATTGTTTCCTAGGAATGGCTGATTCCTATTAATAAAAGCGTCACTACAGTCTCTGGCTATCTTGCACAGCCAATCCGAGGCGATCCAAGCAAGCTCGTGCTGTTCGCTGGAACCTCAGCTCCATATTCTCCATACGTGCTTTCTGTCAGAGACCTGAAACTGCTCCCAAGGCTTTCTGCCCAGCTCTAGAAAAACTCTGTCTGCCTGCCACCATGAAAGAGTTTTCCTGAGCCCGACTGTATGATGCAGCTCATGGTGGTTCATGGGACACACTGTGATCGGCCGTTTCAGACAGACTGAGGTTCCCCCAAAATGCCTAGACGTAGATGAATGAATATCGGTGGGCATTGCTATCTAGCCATTTATTTCATCTCCTCTAACTTAACTGCCAAGGGCTGAGACTAGCCTTTCTCTTCCTGTGGAACCTTCAAAAGCTTTGTTGATGATCATGAACAGATGCAAGGCCTGGACAACAGCTTTTGGGTGAGCACACCAGCCTCCCAAATGCAGAATGGGCATATTTAGTACTCCCAGGTCATGAAAACCCACTACCCAGCCACATGCCATGCTAGTGATTAGCTGGGACATTCACCTGCTGCCACTTGTGTGCATAAAGGGGGATGTAGAGGCCAAGTCCCCAGTGACAACACGGCAGTCCATAGGCACCATCGAATTGGGGAACCATTTTGATATCACTTCAAACTTTCATATAAATCCTAGGCAGACATGCTCCAGTGGACATCTCACATCCAAGTATATAAGCAGTTCATCTTATTAAATCAATGAGTGTGATTCATATGCATTTAAAGTTAACACTAAAGTCAAATGAGGTGCCGTAACCATACAGCCTGGGGTTTTCTCCAGCCTGCTGTGCCTAGTAACTCCTTAGTCTTATTTTCCAAGGTTCTCAATTGCAGGAGGATGTGTGGACACTGGGCACAAGTCATCACAATAATGTTTACTCAGGGGACAGGCGCCCTGTGCGGCTCTGGAGGCTCCTAGAAGTTGCACTCTACTGCTCCACACTGTACAGGGTAGACTTTCTCCCTTTTCAAACCCTCTCCCTTCCCCCTTTGCCTCCCTTATTTCTGCTTGAAGCCAGCAGTGCCAGCATGGAGCATTGCTGAGCCCTGCTGCTGTCCAAACCCCATGCTGTGTAACAAACACAACGGCTGAATTTGAGGGGGAAACACTGCTACCTACTCAACACTCAGCATCTCAGGCTAGTCTCAGATAAAGGGCTATGAGCAACCTCAGGTTATTATTATTGTCTGCTTGTAATAATAACCTCCCCCTCCAAAAAAAATTCAGAACTTCAACTGGCATTTTGAGCTCAAGGACTATTCTCTACCTATCAGCATTTACATACCTTGACCTTGTGAGTGTTTTAAGGATAGATTAGTTCAGGTTTGCAAATCAGTAATCTCAATGTTACCAGCCCACAAAAAATGTCATTGCCACCTCTCCCACATAAACTACCCAAAGAGTAAAATAAAATAGGGTTTTTGCTACTTGCCCAGTGTCATCCATCATCCCGGGCCTGGCAGCATGGACATGGTTGAGCAAAATGTTGGGGTGAGTTGCCACCACCGGATCCCTGCAAGCCTAGAAATAATTTCCTCTGGGTCTCAGTGCTAATATCATGCTTCCAAGTCTCTTTCTGAACAGCATAAAAGCAAAATACCCCACTCCTGCAAGCAAACCAACCACAAGCGTGGTGCCAAGAACTTTGGGGGCCCTCTTCTTGGCCACCCGGAAAGCTGTCGGCAGCACCGCGGAGATTAATATGTTGTTGACATGCCCTAAAACTTTGTTAAATGTTTTCCTCTTCAAGACACGCTCATAATAGGTTTCCAAGTTGGGTCGCTTTCCATTTCCCCAGTTTCTCCTCGCAAACCCCAGGAACTTCAGTCGATGCAGGGTGACAGCGAGCGAGACGTCGGCCAGGGTGAAGGACTCTCCACAGAGCCAGGGCTGGCGGCCCTCTTCTATTCAGAGAAAGGGACACGGAGAGTTAAGGGCAAGCACCGCACAGACACACTCTAGCTGGAACCTTTCATCTCAGTCTTGAGGGCAGGTGTGAGTATAGCAGAAGATGAAGGCCATGGTACATTTTCATGACGGTCATACTCAGGAAGGAATCTTATGCTAAAAACAAAGTCCAAACGTATCCCAAGCTAAGGGAGACTTGACATCTACCAGCCACCTAGGTCCCTAAGTGAAACCAGGATCACTTGAGCCCAAAGCCTGTCTGTCATTTTGTATACAATTCTGAGAAGCTGAGAGCCTCCAAGCCAGAGGAGTGCACAGATATTTCCTTCTGGTTTAGGAAACAACAGTGAGCTTTAGGAACAGCCATAAAGTCGGGCCTGAAATGTCACTCAGTGAGTGCTGCTCTCAGTCACTTATTGAAAGCGTAACAGAGTCCCTACTCTGAAGCCAGTTTCGGGTAACAGGGTGTTCGACTTTGTTGTCAATTGGAACAGGGCGCAGGGAAGTGGGTAGTGTGCTTGCACCCGGGCCCTGGCTGCATCCTGAAGTCAGGTCCACAGGGGCAACGCACGGATGCTCAGCAGCCGGACTGCATGGCCACATTTTATACCTGCCTGCAGGTGACAAGTTGTGCCCCTGCCTAAGGAAAAAATCAGAGGGAGCACTCAAGCAATTCCTCAGGTTATTCAACCAAGCTAACTACTGTAATTACGCATTCGTGAAACAGGCTAGGTTGGAATTTCGCAACCAAACTTTAAATTGTGCAGAAAAATTCTTCAGTGGTCATATTTCACATAGATGCAGACTGACTTCCAATTAGACATCTGTGTTTTGCTGAATTCAGTGTTTTTGTTGTTATCCTAATTCAAATTGCCCATGAAAACAACAATTACAGGACACTTTTACTGAAATCTAAGACTGTTCTCGTAAATACTCCTGATGTCCAGGAAAAGACAGAAAAAATACAAATGAGAGCCTACCTGGGGTTTCTTCATTTCTTCTTTGCAACTCAGTTTCAACCTGATCCAAGACTTTCTCCAACTCATCAAGAATTTTCTTCAAATATTTGACATTGTCATGGTCAAGCAGCTTTGACTAATTAACAAAAATAACTCAATAGATTACTTATGCCTGTGAAAACAAGCGATGTAGAGCAAAGCAGATATAAACTACTGTAGGGCTGGGAACCGTTTATTCTAGACAACGAGAAGAATCAGCATAACTTTGTTAAAGCAAAAGCAAAGTCAGGGGGAAATGCACCGGCTGTGAAAATACTCCTGGGCCAGACCCGCTGCTCCCCGGCCACTCCTGGGGAACAGATGATCAGAGAGGGTGAACACTACGAGGGGCACTAAGAGGCTCCTCTCGGGCCCACTCCTGAGCAGGTTTCAGCAGGCTTCACTGAGCCGACAATCTGAATAACTGAAGGCTCGGGGGCGAGGCAGAAACCTGAGTGTGGGGGGTAAGGAGCGCGTGGGGAGTAAGGAGTGCTCTGTGTGCAGGCATCTCCTTCCCTCTGAGAAGCTCATTCAGCCAAGAGAAGGTGAAAATGGGAAGTTGAGGGGGTGGGGAGGTGGGCCCTTGCTCCATCTTTAATATGGGAGGAGCTGGCAGAGAGAGAAAGGCCTGGGCGACTGATGAAGCAAAGCCCTGCCCCTTAGGAAGCAGGCAAGCCAGGCAGAGGTCAGCCCTCTGGGGCCTGAACCTGGCAGAGTACCTGAAATGACAGATACTCGAATATTTTATTAACCTGCTCTCATCTTTTATAACTTTCCTTGGCAGCCAGCATGCGCAATATTAAGCAACTGCCATTAGGTCTGGCTATCAAACCGAATAAAGAAAAATTCTTTCTGGAAGCACAGCAGAAACCAAAGGTAAATGGTGTACTGGTGACTTGCGATACCTAATAGAAGACGTTCTAGAAATAGTGTCACTTTACAAAAGGCGGACCATTTAGTACAAACAGAGATGTGTGCTGAGGACGCCTGGTCTACTCACTTTAAGCCTCTTCTGCTTTGCGATGTAGGCCTCCTGTAAATCTGGGTTTTCTTCAGCGAGTTTCTGCAGCTCAGACTCTGTGTTACCAATCTGGCCTGATAATGAAATCAGTTTTGAAAGAGAAAATTATTTCCTCCCTTCCGTGTGAGAAACCAGGAGAAGCAGGGAACTCTATGGAGAGAGCAGGAGCTCAGGGGTCCGTGCCCTGCCTCCATCTCGGGCCTACCCTCTCTGTGCCTCAGTTTCCCCACCTTTAACATGGAACTATCAGAGTATCTGCCACTAGGGGCGAGGATTCAATGGGAAGCACCAGGGAAAGCGCTGAGGGCAGGCCCAGTGCGTTGTAAGTGCGGGCGCAGGGACTTGGTCTACCTTTCAGTACCTTCCAAGTCACCTATAAGGAACTTCTATGTGAAGAGAAGGGAAAGGCCTCATTTTTTAAAAAAACAAACATATAAACGCTAGGTGATAGAATTATATCTATCAGAATACTTGTTTCACGTCATATATGAGTACTTGTGAAGAGCAGGAGGGGGGACGAGAGGGAGGTGGGAAGCAGGGAGGGAGAGGAGAGCCAGGAGAAGGTATGAAAAAGAAAGAAAAGTAACGAGAGAAAGACGGGGTGAGGCATGGTTTTTGGAAAGCGTGTAGTTTTTAGATTTAGAAGATCTGGGTGTGAGTGCTCCTAGTCAGACACCCATGGAGTCTGACCACAGCCACCATCCCCAAACCTCCTGTCCCCCAGTACTGTGCCACAGTGGCCCTCCTGCTACGCACCTGGTACCAACCCCACTCATCCTCAGGACAGGACAGAGCAGGGCAGGAGAGAGAGGGATGTCTCACCTCAAGCTCTGTAATTCTGCAATCACTGAATTGAGAGGTAGAGTGAAAGGCAGACAGCCTGTAGTTCAGCTCCCTCACATAATGAACAAAGGGAAGGACCAGCAATGTGACCTCAGTTGCCTCTATTCCCCACAGATCCCAGCTTTCCTGATTCCCAGTCCAGCTGTCCATGAGAACACATTATGGTCTTTACTTTTCCACAGGCCACTATTCTGAGTTTTATCCAAACTTGGCCCTCAAAGCCAAGAGCTGGAAAACCAGGACCTAGAGACAATAAATATCCAGCTGAACAGCTGAGGCACAGGTTAATCTGGGTGCATGGATCCATCTAGAACATGCCCATCCATGAAGCAAACTCAACAACTCTGTTCCCATCTCCTCTCAATGCTCATGAGATACACTAGGTCTCAAAATGAATTAAAAGAAACTCAAGAGAGAATTCAGGTCTTTAAGATTTTTACGTACTGCGAATCCTTGTCGTTGCATAAGCTGGGATCATGGAGTCCACAGTGAGCTCAGGGTGTAAAATACAGCCATGGGTATAGGCATCCATTGGCAAGGAGTCGAGCAGTTCCCGATAGTGTTGTACCCGTGGGTAGTACATGCTTCCTTTATCAGGCATTAACCTGGGTGTTTTTTCTGAAGTGCACATACAAACACAAAGCATTGAAGGAAAAGTTACAAATGAAATATTACATCAAAAGCAAAAACAAAACCCCATTAAATCTTCAATGTTGTATCAAGGTATTTAAAAGATATCTCCCCAGCCCAGACATTCAAATTTCAAAATGGTCTGATGTACCAGATCAGATCCCAAATCATGATCACTCTGGCAATCTCGCACTTCTCCTTACAGATTACAACTCAACCCTCAAGGTCTAGATATGCCAGCTCCTCCATAGCGCATTCCCTGACCTCCTGCAACTACCAGCTCTGGCCGGGCCAGGTATGCCTTCCTCTGTGTACACAAAAGACCTTGTACATACTCCATTACAGCCCTTATCATCTGAATTATTTGTATCTTTTTGCCCCATGAACCTCTTCAGAGTAAGGAACCTGTGGTCCAGGGTCTAGCTAGTGCCCCATACATTTTAGGTCTTAATAAAGTTTGGTTAAGAATGAAAGCTCAGCCCGGCTGGGCGTGGCTCAGCGGTTGAGCGTCAACCTAGGATCCAGGCGATCAGGGTTCGATTCCCGGTCAGGGCACATGCCCGGGTTGCGGGCTTGATCAATGACTCTCTCATCATTGACTTTTCTATCTTTCTCTCTCCCTCTCCTTTCCTCTCTCTGAAATCAATAAAGATATATTAAAAAAAAAAAAAAAGAATGAAAGCTCCTTATAGAAAAATGCTCAGGTACTACTCTTCTCTAAGTTCCAATAAATACCAAGAGTGACCCTATTGATGTTATGTGAATGTGAAATGACAATCTTCATGGGATTTCTAATATTTTATCTCTGGAAAGTGAATTTTACATAAATCCTCATTTACTGGTTAAAATCTAGACTATAGGCTCCTCGAGGGCAGGGACTATGTTCTCTGTTGCATCCTCAGTATCTAATATTATATTTGGCTCCTAGCAGGTAAATTTTAATTAATTAATTAATTAATTAATTAATTAATATATTCCCGAATTTTTAATTATTATAGTTTCACTTTCCCTGCTTTCAGCTACCCACATTCAACCACGGTCCAAAAATGTCAAATGAAAAGTTCCAGAAATAAACAATTCAAATGTTTTACACTGCACACCATTCTGAGAAGCGTGATGAAATTTCATGCTATCCCCTCCTGCTGGCCACTTAGTAGCCGTCTCGGTTATCCGATCGAGTGTTGCAGCATCGTAATGCTTATGTTCAAGTCGCCCTTTTTATTTCATAATGGCCCCAAAGCCACTCACGTAACTTTTATTACAGTGTATTGTTATAACTTCTATTTTATTATTATTATCATTAATCTCTTCCTGTGCCTAATTTATAAACGTTATCACAGATATGTACGTATAGGAAAAAACATGGTATTTAGGGCTTGGTACTGTCCAGTTTCAGGCATCCTCTGGGGGTCTTGTATCTTCTCCCAAAGAAAAGGAAGACTAGTGGATCTGAGCTGGAGAAGCTCTGTGGTATGAGGCACTCAGATGTAGAAGCCAAGAAATTCTCCCAAGATCCCACAGCTAATCAGAGGCAGAGCAAGAACGAGTCATCTATCTCTGAGTACAGTGCTCTCTTTTATTACATCATCATAACATCTTCAAAGGGCTTACTTTTCAGAGACTATCCAAGAATGATAAAGATGAATCACGTCACCCGAAGGCCAGGGCAATGTCCCTTCAGAATCACTTTCCACCTCTGCCCCTCAAACTGCCTTGAAAAGGCCAATGGCCTTATTCCAGTGAGTGAAAAGAACAGCCTCAACTTTATTGATTTACTTCTTAGTTTGGGTTATTTATTGATGCAGAATCCTTTTGAACTTCTCCCACTCATTCCTGAGTGTTGACAAATCAGAGCTGGTTGCAGAGCATTTCAGGCAAGATTTCATAATGTCAGACCAAGAAGAACAAGCTTTTGAAGCCAACAGGCTATTTCTGACTCTCTAAGAAAATAGAAGATGGATTACTCTTCAAACCTGCTAGGGAGTCCAGCTCTGAAGGCCGCATTAGAATCATCAAGAATGAAGCGTCAGCTACACACTGTCTGTGAACAGGGATTTGCCCAACCAGAGCACACTTCCTTGCTGACCTTTCAAGATCTCTTGATCTCAGCGTATCACCAGGATGCCAACCAATGCATGGTCGACACATCCCATTTCCACAAGGACAACACGCTGGAGGCCCTCTAAGGTCCTTGAAATTCTTAACCTTTTACGTGCCACTACCCTCTTCTCAAAATATTGTTCTTAAATGCATAAAATACAAGCTGTGTTAGCACTCCTTGTGGTCAAGTAATCCACTATGAGAAGAACTATACTCTGCATTTTCACTTTCCTCAGTGGATTCTCTGTTTACAACAGTCCCTCCCGCGCCCGTACAGGAGAGCGCCTCCTCTCTTGTTTCTCTGCGCTTGCCCTCGGTTCACCATTAGACCCCCGGTCCCAAACTGCAGTTCTTGGTTGTTCCCAAATACATACATTGTGCTGGAGAAATATCTGGCTACTTGTTAAAGGTCAATAATACTAAAATTTAAAAAAAAGAAAAGAAAGAAAGAAAATATGTTCTTGGAACTGTGCTCAGTCAGGAGTGGGAAAGCGATGGAAGGCTCACAGGGACAGGACAGGGAATCGGGGGGCTGTTAGGAAGCCGGCAATGAGGAGAGCCCCCAGCTCTGGGGACCAGGGCTGCAGCAGTGAGGCATGACAGCAGGCCCAATAAGAATAAACAAATGAGTTGCATAAGATCTGCCTTCCTAGAAGACTGAGTAGGGGACAAGACAGGTCTTGTATTGCTCCTAAATTTGGGCAGCAACTTAGAAACAGGCAGATGGACATAAAGCACAATGACTTGATAAACAACCAGGACAGAAAACAAAAGAAGTTTAAAAAAATCAGAAACAATAAAAGCATTCTGCAGCCATTTAATAGGGACAAACAGCTCCGTACATTCTCAAGTCCCTCTATTGCTGATTAGAATGACAATGGCCTTGAGCCATTAAAAAAAATTACTTTCAGTTCCAAGAGCAAAAAATAAAAAGGACCTAAGGGCTTAAAGGCATAAGCTTCCATTATTTTACTAAATTCGCTACTCTGATTTTCTACGTTCCCCAGTGATGGCAGATACAAGACTCTCTTTTATCAGGCAGTTGGTTCTAATTGTAGGATACACATAACATAGAACTAGGCCTTGGCATTTAATACCCACGCCTTTCCACAAAAACTGGCCAAATCACAGAAAGGGAAAAAAAGGAAAAAAAGTTACTTTTAAAAGCCACTTTTATTGGCACAATCATGAGTTTTTCTTTTCCTTACCATATGCCATATTTTCTGCACCCTGGGTTAAAACCTTGCTGCTAAATCTGCATTTTCGGTGATAGGCTAAAAGGCACACAATGTTGTTCAACTATATATGAGCCTTATATGGACAGACATAAAATTTTTATTCTCTGACCTTTACCAACAATTAGAAATTCCTTACATAAATAACGATATTTTTAAAATATATCTTTTATTGATTTCAGAGAGAGATAGAAACATCAACGATGAGAGAATCATTGATCGGCTGCCTCCTGCACGCCCCTCACTGGAAATCAAGCCTGCAACCCAGGCATGTGCCCTGACCGGGAATCGAACCCCGATCTCCTGGATCCTAGGTTGACGCTCAACTGCTCAGCCACAGCCTGGCCGGGCAATAACAATATTTTTTAATGTAGCAGTGACTTCAGAATTAATGTTCTTTCAAAAATCTGATACAGTTGATTTTCAACATAACATATATTGATAAAATTGTATCTATAAAATTATATTTCCTAGTCAAACTTATGTGTGATGCTTGAATATCACACCTGTTAAAGTACAAAATTCAAATGAGTAAATTTGAAGATCTTACTGGCTTAATTAAGTGATTCAATTGGGCAACAGCAGATCCAGCAACTAGAAAGGCTCTTGGAGGGACTATAAAAATGGAAGGTTTTCATAGGAAGAAAGATGGGCGAGGGAGCTATTAGCAAAAGGAAAGGGAGGATTATTTTAAGCCAGCACATCTTCTTTCTGGGGGGTAATGGACCGGCAAAGGTTTTATCACGCAGACTGCCTCTTCCTCCTTCAGGGGACAGAGACAGCCCCTGGGACAGACTGCCTTACTGGTGCTTGACCAGAAAACTCTAGAAGGGTTGATTAAGATTACATTTCTGGTGAAGGCTGAGACTGCAGTTGGGCAGGCATTAAGTATCACGGGCTTTAGCACAAGTGATGCCATCTTGGGCCTGTGGCTTTCTCTTTAATACTAGAATACTTTGATTATTTCCAAACCAAACCCTATTTCCTAATAATCTTTTAAATGATATATATAGACATAAGATATGGGGCATAATCTTCAGAGAACTGTTATATATTAAATTACCAAAATTCAATATTCACTATATTATATCCTTGTTTCCAGGTTACTACTGGCAGTAAAAAATAGCATGTGTTCTGGTATTTTGTAGTTACTTCATGCCCACCTTTTTTATTATCTAGTGGCCAAACTACAGTTCACTGGAAGAGATTATGAATAGTATAAGAAATATCTAGAATTTTTAAATCCATATTATTGGTGTGTATATTCCCTTGTCACATCCATCGTTCCCGAGTTCTTCTAATTTGCTTAGCATCAGACCTCATCTAGATTAATAAACTGCTTCCTTTACTCTAACTACTCTTCATTACATGCCCAGGTAGGAAAAGCTGTCATGTGCATGAAAAAGTCAGCAAAACTGAGTAGTAATAATAGCACATGCGCGTCTTGCAGGCAGGTTTTACATTATCGTCAAGTTTATAGAATGAAATTATCTTTGAAGATTAGTAAGATTTTAATGATTTGGGTCTTTTAAAAGACTGAAAGAATGAATGAAGAGATTGCTCTTGGCAGCCCTTGGGTGATCAGCCATAATGGAGTACTTCTAAATTCTTCCTTTTACCCAAGTTCTGACCTCAGGAACATCATTGATGTCTACGTCAGTCTTCCATGTAACTGCTTTAAAAACAAATCAAGCATAGCCATCGCTCAACTTAATATTCACTTTCTTTTGCTAAGACTTAGGAAAAAAGTCTTGGTGATCAAATTTCTCCCCTCAAACTAGCAGTTATTTAATGGATTTATCCCATAAGGATGTAAATACGGAAATAATGATTACACAGAAAGGTTGAGAAAGGTTTGCAGATCGGCAAGTCATCATTTTTCATATAATCCCCAGCTGATAGAATAACACAGAATGGCAACTAGTAACAGCGAATGAAATACACTCTGTTCACTACACTCTGTTCTTTAGATGAATGGATACACTTAATTAAAGTCTCCTATTATAACTGTGAGCAACTATAGACCTCATGAAATCCATTCACTTGTTATCATTCTAATTTGTCAACTTCTTTAGAGTTCCATCCATAAATGGACAAAATGCTACATATTCCAACCAGTTAAGAATGTAGCAGGTTACAACTCACCATACTCTGGACAGAACCTATACTTAGAGCCTTTTGTTTTATTGTTGGCTTTTATTGGTAACGTATTAGCCAGCCAGGTCTCCCATCCTTCATTAGTGCAGATGATTTTTAAAAACAAAATTAACATACTACATTTAGCCTTGTTAAACTTTACCTTGGTTATTTTTCCATTTTATTGTTCCATTAGAAACATTTCATAAGCTGGTCATCATATTAACCACCCTTGCTTTTCTGTCATCTACAAATCTAATAGTGTTTCTGCTATGTCTTTATTCAAGTCATTTATGGAATCGTTAGGCTCCTCAGAGAACAGAAGCCTATGAGAACACCAGTAGAGATCCCTGTCCAGGATGACATCTATTTTCAATAATTCATTCATTTTAATCATTCAATTGTATTTATTAAGTTCCTATTAAAGAACATTCACTGTATGAGGCATTGGGAATATAGCTGTTAATGAGACAGACACTGTCTCTGACCTCATGGTGCTCAGAGTGATCTACAAGCAGTTGAAATGATTAAAATAAAGTGAGAAAAAATTATTATAGGGTAAGTAAAATGACAGTCAATATCGAAAGGAACAACTTGGTATAAGAAATTAAAATGAATATTCTTCAACATGGTGGTTTATTCATCTGAAAATGTGCACCTCATCTAGCCGTATTTGCTCCTTCATTTCACAAGGGTATCATATGAAGTGATCGTAAATGCTCAACTTAAATCAAGGTACACTATATCTTCTGGCACATAATAGACTCACCTTTTTAAAGTGTTAGTTAATGACATTTTCCTGTAAGTAATGCAAACTTAAGCTGCTTCCTTTTAACTGAGATACTCAAAATGTGTATGTGTGTATATATGTGTGAGTGTGTGTATATATTTCTTTTAATTTCTGACAACCCAGTCTAGAACTCTGCCACAATTAAAGATATTTATAGCACTGCTTAAAGCTTAAACAATTACTTAATGCACATTCATTTGTAGCAGTGCTTCTCAAACTTTATGTATATTTGAATCACTTGGGAATCGTGTTAAAATGCAGATTCTTACTGACACGATCTGCAGCGGAGTCTAGGACTCTGCATTTCTAACAAGCTGCCAGTGATACCAGTGCTGCTGGTCAATGGAAGACACTTTAAGTAGCAAGGATTGGCAGAATCATCCCCCCCTTGACAATTGGGATAATATTTGTCTGTCACTTGTCTGGTTCTTTTCTAATCTGAGTTCCAATGATAAATATAAAGTATCTTAATGACAACTGTGATAACACTTGCATGTTTGTTTTGTATTTAATACTTTGGGATAAATTCATCTGTAGACTGGACTAGCCTTCATTTATGCAACTAATTGTTCCCGCGCTCTGTTGATATCTACCATGGCTTTTAGGTCCTTTAACCTTGACCTTTTTCAACCCTATCCAATCGCATAACTACTGCCCTAGGAAAGGGGAACAAGTAAAATAGGAACCAACTGGACTTGCTTTATCTCTGCAATTGATAGAGCCACATCACCTAACTCAAGAGGACAAACCAAAGTCATGTCGCCAGGGAAGTGGAATAAGTTAGGTCCAGCCTCAGACAAAAAGCTAGGATTCCTGATTGCCTGCTTATTCTGTTGGTACAACCAGAATTAAAGTCCTTAGTTTCTATATTTTTACCCTAACACTTATGCCTTCTCCTCTGATTCAATAGATTCAATAAACAGTAAGAAGAACCCAGTATTTCCCCTGTTAGAGCGGGACTCAGAATGTGTCTCAGTTTTGTTGTTATACTAAGGAAAAGGAAGAGCCTAAGGCAAGTTATGAGAAAGCCTAATTGTTATTAACATTACTACGTTATAAAGTAACATATTTCATATTACTCAGTATCTTAGAGGAGAAACAATCTAAGGAGGAAGAGAGAAGGAGAGGGAGGGGAGGAATAGTAGTAGCAGTAGTCTGAGAGATACTAACAAAAGATTTAAATATGATTTTCCATTTACTGTATCTTTTTAAAGTTTGCAATTATTCAAAACAGGATTCTTGTACAGTTATTTTTGTTTTATTCACATTATTATAATTACTTCTCCCAAGAAATACAAATTATTATTTAACAGACTTGTCCATTTCCAAAAAGCTCAAAGTTGAGAAAAATTGTATTAAATCACTTAGCCAGCATTTTCAGTACAATCCCCAGCATACAGACTCAGAGGGGTGGCAAGTAATGGTGACAGGGAAAGCCATTCATTAAATCCTTTCGCTTTGATCAATGGCCACCTCTAATAATATCTCCAATCAGAATCCTAGAGAGCGAAACATTTGGATCAAGAGCAGAAGCAGCCCTCTGCTCATCCAATCCCCTTTGGTCCCTGCCCCGCTCAGGTCCCATATCTATTTTCCTTCAAAGTAACCCCTCAGACATTTTTCTTGGCCAGTTTCCTTTCTCAGTTTCCAGCGATTTGAGGTTATTTTCTGGTTTCAATCTCCCCAATTAACGTCAGCGCAACTGGCGGGAGATGAAGAGTACCTGGATTTCATGCACCTTCTATCGCAGCAGAGGGCTCGGCTGACAGCCAGGAGCCCCGTGTTCTGATCTCAGTCCTGCCAGTGATCAGCTCTTGAGTCCTGGGCAAATCGGTGACACCACAGTTCACCTCAGAGGGTCGTCATGAGGAACAAGTGACACACGCGTAAGTGGCAGTGACTCTGGGATACAGCTGGTATAATACGAAGGTCTGGATTTGAAAGACTTGCACTCCGGCCCAGCCCTGCCATTAAATAGCTCTGTTACCTTAAGCAACCCCTCATGTCATGACTCCGATGGGTTCTTTGAAGACTGAACAGAACAGAAACTGTAAAATGCCTGATATAAAACAGTCTGTCAGCAAGTGATTATTACTTAAAAGCACTATATAAATTTAAGCCCTATAACTCCTTGCAAAAGATATGAAATTCAAACTATACAGGAGGAACAGGGGCCAAGAACTCAAAGCATACCAATATTCTATTCTCCCTGCCTATAATTTATTTCTCTTTTTCCCTCTGTTTTTAAGGTGGAACCATTTGGTAGAACAGATGAAACTGACTTTCACAATGTACATTTAGAATCAATATTATGAATTAGACCTCAAGGCAACTAAACTACCATCACAAGCCACACACCTGCAGGGTTTTTTTGCAAGTCAATTTAAAACATTAAAATTTGCAGTTTACATGAAATTCTTTTAAAGGAGTTATACTGGTTTGTACAAAATTTATGTTATTGACCTATTTTATTTTTGTGTGCTTATGGAAATGGAAAAGGTTTTTAATCACTAAACCACCACCATGAAACCAAAAAGAAAGAAAGAAAAAGGAAGGAAGGGAAGGAGGGAAGACGGAAGGGAGGGAAGAGGGAAGAGGGATGGGGGGAACACATCAATTTGTGTTAAAAGTAAATCCAAGAAATCACAAATAGCCTTAACATTACCATCCAGGAAAGTCTGTTCAAGATAATCAATGATCTGAGTGGCCTCACAAATAATGTTTTCCCCGTGGATAAGGACAGGCACTTCTCCAGTTGAGTTCAAACGCATAAACCAAGGCTCATTGTGCTCACTCAGGGGCAGACTTACATCATGTTGCTCGCACTTCAATGCCTTTTCAGCAATTACCAAGCGCACCTGGAAGAGTTCACACTGGTTACCACAGCGCACGGAGGCTTTCAATTCAATGAGATCCTTGGATACCACTAAGTAGCTTTTCTGTGCTTCCCGGAGTTATTAATATTTTCAATATCCTTTTTAACTACAGTCATGTGCAACATAACTACCTTTAGGTCAGTGACAGACTGCATATATGACAGTGGCCCCATAAGATTATAATGCAGCCAAAAAATTCCTATCGCTTAGTGATGTCGTAGCCATCAAACTAAATTATTGCCAGTCGAATAAAATTATGTACATACTATTATGTACAGCAGCAATACCTGATAATGATACTAAAAGACTATGTTACTGGTTTTTGTGTGTGCTATACTGTACCTTTTATCGTTATTTTAGAATATACTTGTAAAACAGTATTAATGTTACACCAGCAGCAACCTCATATGTTTTGTTCTCCCACATCTCTTGATTGCATCATTGTATCTTGCGCCTGATTTGATCTCGTGCAGTGTTCTACAGTAGCATGCTGTACAGGTTGCAGCCCAGGAGCACAGGCTACACCACAGGGCCCAGGCGTGCAGCAGGCCCTACCGTCTAGGTTTGTGTACGTGCGCTCTTACGTTCTCAGAGCAACAAAATCGCCTAACAACGCATTTCTCAGAAGGGGCCCCTGTCGTTAAGCCCTGTGTGACTGTATTCCTATTCTAGAATTAACGAGTCAGATGTAGTCTAGCGTCTTGTTCTTATAAATGAGAAAAGATAAGTAATGAAAATGATTCTGGCTACAAAAATGTACAGTGACCTTCCCACCGCCAGTACTTTCTTTGTGCCCTAAACCTAATTACATTCTCCCCAGACAAGAACCTGAAATAGAGATATGCTAGGCCTTGTGACAGACAGTAGATGGGAGCGAAATGGAGCAAAATCAGGGACTGCAGAGTCCTCGGCTGCTGTTTGAAGGCGCTTCCCTCTGCCTCAACTCTGCGAGGCCCAGGAGACAGGCCTCCGGCCCAAAGGCCGAAAGGGATGCTTCGGGTCGTGCTTCACGAGCGGCGGTGCCTGGGTCGCGGCCTTTCCGTCTCAGGCTGCCTCCCTGCTCCCGCTAAGGCGCACCCTGCCCTGGAGGGAGCCCGGGGGTCAGGGTCCCCGAGGCCAGCGTCCAGTGGGCCGGGCCGGGCCGGCGGGCCCGGCGGGAGCTGTCCGGTGCTGAAGCCCGCCCCGCCCCGCCTGCGCCGGGCCTTACCTTTTGGGAGCTGAAGGAATGCGTCCAGTGGTACAGAATGAGCTTAGCCTCCGCCTCCCGCTCGCCGGCCTCCAGCGGGGGCGCGCCCCCTGCCTGCTCGGCCTGCGCCCCGGCCATTGCGGGGTGCGCCCTGGCTCCCCCACCGCGCTGCCAGCGGAGCCTGGGTCCTCTTCTCGCGATGCCTCCGGAGGCGGGAAAGCGAGTTCCCGCGACAGCGGGGCCGCTGGGAAGTGTAGTTTCTGCGGCCAGGAAGCTGCGGGGCGGCGACCGCAGAGGCTGGGTGTCCGCGCCGGGCGCGGGGAGGCCACCGGGGGTGCCAGTGGGTGTTTCTTAGGGGAAACAACCTCAAATGCGTCCCTGATTATGAAAGTGAGTATTGACTAATGTCGATAGCAAATTACTCCTTGGTTTGGGAGGTGGAGTAGAGGTTGCTCAGGTATAAAAACAGCGATTTTCCAAGATGCTTAGGGTTAGAAGTTCCAGTTGTCAGACAAAGCCACAGGGTAAGGATCTATGTGTTGTCATTAGAAGAGGCTACTCTTCAGTCATGCAAAATTATTATTATTATTATTCTCATAAACAACTAATATCCAATGGTGAGAAAAATAGCTTAGTTGTTCAGCACAGAAATGTTAGAGCGGATCTACATGGATTCATGTCCTGGTTTTTTAATTTTCCCCATTTTTGTAGTGGAGATAATTTATTACCCCGATAAGGTTTTTGTGACAATGTTAGGCACTTAAAACATCCTGGCACGTTGTAGGCTCTAATATTATTTACAGGTTCAGTTGCCTTATAAACATTCTCTTCATCGCCATGGTCAGAATCATAATTTTATACTAGTCTGGTTATTACTGTACACCTCTTATAATCTGGTATCATAGTAAGTTAATAAAATTTATCTTTTAGTAAATATGTATTAATATGACCGTGGATGCTTCCCTAATGCATTTAGGAAATATTTACTGAGTACCTACAATATTCCAAGCATTATTCTGGACTCTAGGGATGCAAAGATGGATAAGACCTGATACCTGGTACCCAAGATGTAAGTCTGGTGGCAGAGACAACAAAATTAATAGACAACCATAACAGAGATAAGACCTATGTGTCTTAGCGTGAACACAAGGTACTGTGAGAAAACAGAGGCAGGTATCCAACTCAAGTCAAAAAAAGGCCCCGTGGAAATGACAAATCTCAGAAGGTCCTCCTCGCCTTTACAACACTTCATACCCTTAAGTTAATTCAAATATAACAGCAAAAGTGCTTCTTACCAAATTTGTTTTTTATCAGTTCACACTTCAGAATAGTAGGGGGGAAAGCAAAACTTTGAAATCAGGCAGAGTGGGATTTAAATTCTAGTTTCACCCCCAGTGACCTCTCTTGAGCCTTCATTTCACCATGTGTGAAATATGGATATATAGAAAAATGTGACTGCCCTGGGAGTTGAATGAGAGGGCACATACAAAGCACTAGGACATTGTCTGTGGAAAGCCCCTCTGGGGCATTAAAAGGACATCATATTACACTTGCTCTTCTCTCTTTAGGCCTCAAAAATTTGCAACTAATTATATAATCCCCCATTCCTCCATTCCTCTTCAGAAGGACTTCATTCTTAATTTTCCAGCTTCAGGTTCTAGCATGTACTATACCTCAATATCTGAATAAACACTCTTGGCGGGCTGTCTGTCACTTGCAGCTGAAAGAGCCTGACAGTAAAGCCCAGGCCTGTCAAACACAGCACTGTCTCTATCACATCTTTCCCCCAGCAAAGCCATATAGTAAACATTGAATGAATTGATTGATTCCTGTGTAGGTGTTTAATATGAAACATTCGTATATATCGTTGGGAGTGTAAATATGTGCAGAGCTTCTGAAGGGAAATTTATCAATATGCATCAAAAACCTTGAAAATGGTTATAACTTTTAACCTTCCAAGTCCTCTATTTGCACTTTAACTATGAAATAACTGCAGCAAATTGTTGGCCCTAAAAATCCATTTTCTCCTTCTATGGTAACAGAAATTTTAGCTAATCACATGGCTGAGGAGACTAAAGACTGCATTTCCCAGGCTCCGTTGCAGCTAAAGTTGGCCCTGTAACTGTTCTAACAAACGGGATGTAAGGGAAGCGCTGCAGGGCAAGTTCTAGGAAGCCTCCTTAAAGGAACAGCTGGCCCTGTGCCTCTTCATCCCATTCTCCATCCTGTTTCCAGGAGGGTGGATACTGATTTGGACCATGAGGAATAGGACCCCACCCTGAGAGTGGGCAAGCCCTGAGCTGGAGGGACATTGAGCCCCTGAGGACAAGATGTTGTGGACATCACTCATTCATAGGGTCCCTGGGAGGCAGAGCTGACTCAGTGGCATGTAACACACACAGGGACACTGGGAAGCAGAGCCACCACACCCACCTGAATCTGCACACCTCCGAACTTTTAGTTAAATAAGAAATAAAGCACCTTGGTTAAGCCACTGTTATTTGGTGTTTTCCAAGTGCTATTATCTTAACCCATCTTCACTAAGACATCAACCTTGTAAATATCTGTAGTTTTTATTTCTTTATGCTTCTCTATATTGTAATTTTTCTAGAGTGAATATGGACTGCTTTTACTTGTTAAACATTTGAACATCAAGAGAATATCAGTAGACAGATGAGGTGAGGAAACATGGTGGTATTTTGGTTTTAAGTCACAAAGGGTAGAAAAGAACTGAGCATCTATTTGCATTGACCCATGATCCCTGTTATTTTCTATCCCACTCAAAGCCACTTGTATGTAATAGAAAAGCCTTGTTATGAATTCACATGTTTACTCAGAGCTTCTACTAAATCGTGTATTCTGTAGCTGTGTGTCTTTGTACATCAAGTTAGATTGTGGGCTCCTGGAGAACAGGAGCCAGATCCAGGTCAGTCTATTTCTTCAGTGTGCACTTGTGGAACTTTCCCTGTTTCAGGAACAGTGCTAGATACAGAAGAGATGGAGTTAAAAGTCAGAGTATTTCGCCTCAGGAAACTCAAGTGTGGAGGGAGAAAGATGAGATCACAACGCACTGCAGTAATTACTTGCATATGAGCATAGAGAAAGGCTCCTAACATAGTGTCTTCCCAAAAGAGGTGATGACTTTTACCATAACTAGTACTACACTGGTGCAATTACCAACATATCTAGTGTTGGGCAACCACAGGCTCATACAGGCTTATGGGAGCTGATTGCCAAATTTTCAGGAATTTTGCAAGCTGGATGTTCAACATAGCCAATATAAAAAATGAAATAAAATTGAATTGCATTTAAATAATGTTAAAACAGAGCTAGCAAATACTCAAAACTCATTACTTCTTAATCATCTTGCTATGTTTATTACTGTCTATACTCTTGAGATTATTCACATAATGGAAATCACGTAAAAGGTGTGCTGCTGTGCATCTCTTCCTAACTCCCGGCTCAGTGATGCCACGTTAGTCGCCTGAAATTGGCCATCACAGGAACATTTACACTACACAAATCTGCCAGTGCTATCTATCATATGTTTGTTTTTTCCAGGGAGTTGGTTGTTAAACATTTACCTGCACACCATGGAATATACAAATTTTATTTAATACTTAATAAATTATTTTGATGATGTTGATGATAATGATCTGGGTAAATGTGTGAATGAGTGAGTTTATATATTAATCTGCTTTTGGTACCTTTTCCTGTCCCAGCCAGCTTAGGGCCGCTTCCTTTTCCATTACTCAGACACCCACTACCCTTACGAAATTTTCTTTCTGTTCCCTGTACCTAGGAAGACAGTAGATATGCACACGACTATCTGCTCACTGTCAGACACAGCACTTTCTCTAGTACATCTTCCCGGCAGCCAAAAACCATAAACCTGGAAACACGGAACGAATTGATGAGTGCATGGGTGTTTAATATTTATAATACCCTATGAACAAAGTATAACATAGAACTTCGCCTGGAGATCACAGACCACTTTCTCACAGTCTCATTTGATCCCCATGATAGCAGAGGTAGCTACCAGCCCTAATTTATAATTGAGGAAAGTGAGGTTTTACGACTGACAGACTGGTCCAAAACCCTCGAGCTGAGAAGTAGAAGAGCCAGATCTCAAACACGACTTTCTACTACACTATGCTAGCTCTAAAAACCAAAGAGAGAAATCTGTGGGCTTGCAAGCTTTGCACAACGTGGGGTAGACTTTGGGGAAAATATAGCCACCTTCTTGGAAATCAGTTCACATAGGTATGTACACTTTTATTAAAACACAAACTACAGTATCAAAAACTACTGTTTATAGGTCTTTCTAGTGCATCAGACTCAGAGCTTCTTAAGGTCAAGGCCTAATATTATTCATTTTGTTATCCCCAGGAATCCAAATTAGTGCCTGGTAAAAGATGGTCTAAAACAGCTTATTAATTAATGGAGAGAAAGATGGATCACCACCAATAACAAGAGAAACAGCAAACAATGACAAAGAACAACTAACAACAACAATAATAATAAATTATAGCCTATTTAGCCTACTGCACTCAAAATTCTATGTGTAAAGGCGTTTTCATTTGACAGAATTTGGTGTTTACAAATCTGGGCCAAGGATTATGGTTCTGTAAATCGACTGTCTCTTATATCAATATTTATTGAAATTCTTTATTCACTTAAATATTTGTACATAAATGAAGTTAAAATGGATTTGATTGATGTTATGAAATAGCAGATCACATAACCTCTCTGAGACTGAATCACCTTACCTATAAAATTACAATCAAAAACCTATCAGACATACTGGCTGCTCAGAAAGATCCAGTTTGGGAAAATTCTTTGAGCTAGACAATTAGGATTTGTTCACTTTTCTTTATATCTTATGCTTCAATCAGATTTTAAATTATAACATAGACGTGTTGTGGCTGAATGATGTATGTATTTATAGAAGTTACTGTTACGTAAAGTCCTAAAATCCTGCTATTGCTCTTCTTATCTATTTTGGCAGGTATTAGGAAATAGATAATTTTTTAATGTATTTCAACAAAGTCAGAGATCTTGAAACCTTTTGACAAATTGGAATACTCTAGATTTCTAGTTTTTAAAGCACTTTTATGAATGACCACAAGAGGTCTCTACTTTTT